CATGGCGCCTCTGGTATTCTGCTTGGCCAACACACTGTTGTCTTCATAAAAGTGTAGCCTTGAATTTAGCTGCCTCAGGCAACAGGACCAGCACTCTCCCACTTAGAGGCACATCAGTTGCTTAAGGACTCACTTTCTTAGTGTCAGACCTTATGGGCACTCTGGGCTGTGGTTTACCTCTCCAGGGACACATCTCTTTAGCTCACATGCAGACTTTGGGAAGGTTCTAAGCCAAGTTGCTCTTCATTGTCAGACAACACAGGACATCTACAGATCTAAACAAAACTGTAGAACACCTGTACACGTTCCCTTACTTCATTTTCCTTGCTACTCTTGATCTTTCTTGTGGAGAACTTCTGCTTTATGCCCAAGAACCCAGGACATGGTGTCTCCTTCAAATTATGGGAGCTCTTGTCTACAGGCTGCTTCCTGGTCCGGGCCCACAGTCAAAAAAGATCTACCTGCTACAAAAGCATATTTTTTCTATCTAAGCTTGCTTTTATCTTTTATGAGCATCTCTGACTCTTTTGCCATTAAAAAAAAAAAAAAAAAATGCCTACCATCCAGCCTCTTTATGGGTCTTTTAGGTAATTTTGAATTCTAAACCCCATTTCCTTCAGACTACCTGAAAATAACTAGCACTGTCCGTGGCATTGTTCAGCCTAACATCATGCATGAAGGTTAATGACTTCTGCAGCTTTTGCTGGGGATCTTGTCAGTTCATTGCTGACTTTACATATTGAGGCATTTAACAAGATGTCATTTTGGTAAAACTAGCTGAAATTCCCAAGTTGAATACAGACAGGTTCCCCAAATTATTGTGCTATGAAATGTTTCTAATCTTTCCTTACTTCCTCTAGGAGCCAGCAGAGTAAAAAGTCCAACCTGTGACCCAGTCCTACTGTTGGAAGCTAGAATACCAGCAATGAAACTCTTTGTATTTGTGTGTAACATGCTTAGTTGTAGAGTGGCATGTATGATGAGTAATATTTTGGAGACTATTTATGTCCTCAGTCATTGTGTTTCCAGAGAGAAAGGTGTTGGGATATCTTATAGCTAATATTTCATGCCTAATAAAATAAAGGAGTGACTTCTATAGGGCTGAAAGGAAATAGAAGTGTAGAAAAATGGGGGCAGAAGTGATCATGAGAGGTTGTTTAGTCCAACCTCTGCTCCAGGCAGAATCATCCTCATCTAAACCATCTCGGACAAATATCAGGCCTGTAATTCAAACTTCCGAAGACGGAGATTCCACAATGTCTCTTAATCTTCTATTTTATTGCTTACCCATCTCTTTGTTACAAAGTATCTAAGTATCATAGCTAGAAAGCATCTGGTAGAAATATATAACTTCACTCTTCTTTGTTAAAATGTAAGCTTAATACCTTTTGCCCCTCATAAACATAGAGATCAGATGATCTCTATATTTATCCTGTGACCATAGATGGATAGAATTGTTACACACGTGTTTATCTGTAGAAATGGCTTGTTTTTGTTTTTTTATGTTTGCATGCCTACATGTGTAGTGATTCAGCCATGAATTGAGTGTTTTTAAATATAGTTAATTTTCATTATTTTCAAATATTAATAAGAATGCTAGAATAGTTGTATCTTGTATGGGAACTCAAGAACTAAATTTATGCAAAAGAGGCCATCTGGGTGTCAGTAGTGGAGTGATAAGCGCCTTGACTAACTGCCAGGGGAATCCCAATGTATAAGTTTTTTTTTATATATAGTGTGTATGTCTGTAATTTATACAAAGTGTGCACGCACACACTTTTTAATGGATGGACTCTGAGAAGTTTTTATTTGCTGGTGGTTTGCAATGGGACTTTTATGGGGGGGGTTTAACAGCACAAGAATAGGACAGTGAAAGATTCTATGATCAAAAAATGCTCACTGAGATAGTGTATATTAAGGCTTTTTTCTTCTATAGAACTTTGATGTGATAGTTTGTTCCTTTCGCACTTGTATGACAGCAACTGAAGTAAATTATTAAAGACTGAGCTTTGAGGGGTTTGAGGAATGTCATTGCTAATTTTAAGTGTTCTGATGTCGAGTGGGAAATTTATTTTTGCTCTACAAATAAATTATGAAAATTGGAGGTGCCCTACTCCCTGTTCCTTAAGTCCTAAGAAGGAGAAAAATGTTGAGTTGTTTTGAGCCTTTTATAATCTTGGCGTAGATATGTGGGACAGTAATAAAGCAAACTGCAGTTACAGCAGCTGTACAAAAGACACTTGTGTGGCTGTAATAACTTGCCTCTAGTTTGCATCTCCCTGCATCCCATTGTTTCTTTCCTGCCCCCTGCCCATCCTTCCTTCCTTTTTCCCTCTCAATCTGAGTATTCTTTTTGTTGAGAATTAGGATTGGGCTGTATCAGAATATGTCCTCTTGGTGTATTACTTTGATGTTACTGATCATATTCAAAGAAATAAAATGTTGTCTTTGCTTTTCTCAGGTGGCTTTGCTGAATTCTCCAGCTGTTTCCCTGGCCTCTGTGAAGGAAAATCTATTCTAGTTCCTACTTGTATTTCTCAGCCCTGCTTACCAGTCTCTAACATTGGGCCAACTAGAATTTTGCCTCATCTTTATCTTGGTTGTCAGCGAGATGTCCTCAGCAAGGTGGGCATTTTTATATGCATTATTTACAGCCATGGATACACAATCTTTGGGAATGGGAAGAGTAGCTAAAAGAATACAGATCGTGCTTTCCAAAATAACCATGTGTTGCTGCTTTGTGATGTTGTATCGGTTCCACAGCAAAACACTTGGAGTAAATCCAAATAACAAGCCTTCTGTCGTTTGATCTCTATCAGCTGTGGGTTGTGTTGATGACACGGAATTAATATAATTAATGCATATGCTCTGTAATGTGATACTTGGTCTTCTCTTGCTTATGCTGATACCTGCATCAGAAATCTTCCAGTTGACAGGAAGTTATTAATTTATTATAACAAAGGCCTAACCAGTTTCATGAGCATGACTCCAACTGGTTCTGTTCTGACAAGCTGTTAATACTGCACAGTGTCAATGCTTGCTGCAGCACAAAAGACCACTGATCTCATGCTAAGTGGGATTTTGTTTTTTTTTTGGTGGGAGGGGAGATAGGCTGTGAGTTGTTTGTTTTGCTTTTTTTAATTAAATACTAGGGGGAGTTGATTTGAAGCACCTGACTTTGGTTATTACTGTATATGTCTACTGATAGCTCTTGGCCTAAAATTGAGCACATTGTAGTATGTGAAAAAAGCCCAAAAGCAGCCTCCATAATTTTGTGATATTAAATGCCCCCAAACTAACTGAATCAGGTCTGTGGCATGGGTGATCAGCAGCATGCAGCTTGGCTAAACGCATCCCCTTCCCTCCCCTGCACTTAGCTACCAATCCCTCCCACAACTGGAGGTAAGCTCTCTTCTTCCCCTTCCTCTGACACTGGCAGCCATCAGTCTTGTCCCCTCCCAAAAGGGGTCTGAGGGCCCTTGGTGCAGCCACATCGCAAATACCTCACCCACTGCTCTAAAATGTTGATCTATACTGAGGCATTCTCAAGCTCCAGTTTTTCTGGGCCTCTCTGCATGGGTACTTATGCAAAGGTTTACACCAGGACTGGCCAGGTCTGCTGTTGCTCGGTGTATATCCCTTTGCTCACACCACAAAAGATATACACATTTGGACTTCTTTACCATCCTCAGTTTCAACCTTTAAAAAAAAAAAATACCTTTCCAAATTTTTGAAAGTTTCTTTGCATCTGGCAGTTTTATATTTAGGAGATTTATATGAGACCATTCTCGTAAAAGCAAGGGATTCCTTTTAGGGTTTTCCCCCCTCTCCTGTTTTTTAAAATACATTTAAAAGTTTGTGTGTGAAGATGTTTCTTGTTCTGGGGTTAAAACATCTAATTTTATCAAAATCTAATCACTTTGTCATAATCAGATTCTTTCTAGTTTCTCCTATTTCTCACCCCTTTTCCACCTAGTTTTAATAAGGTATTTTAGATTGCAGTGTAAGCATTTCATTATTTTTTCTCTTCCAGAACTTAAACTGCTAGTATGGAGAATAGTCAGTGGCCATTGCTTTCCTTTTAGGTACAGACAGTCCTTGAACTTATGACACAATTAGTTCCTGAAAACCGCGTCTTAAGTCGAAATGTTGTAACTCGGAACTGATTTTTCCCGTAGGAAACAATGTTATAAATGGGGGATTGGTTCCTGAACCAAGGCCCGATACCTCATTTTCACCAGAAATAACCCAGAATTTTGTACTCAATTATACATAAGTAATACAGCTACATTAATGTAGTTATATTGTAAATAGCACTCATATTGATTTGGAAGGACTTCTTCGAGGTGACTTTGCTGGGCTTTTTGAAGGGTTCTTGGCTCAAGTTTTCTCAGGAGTCTTGGCTGTAGGTTTTTCTGCAGTCTTGTCTTCTTTCTTAAAGAAAGTGTCCAAGGAAGTTTGGACAGACATTCTCCAGGGAGATGGGCAATGCAGCAAACTTGTTTGCTGGCATGTCACGGCATCGATCAAGCATTGTAAAGTCAAAACAACAGTGTGTCAATTTATAAACTTTGTAAGTGTGAAACGTAACTCGAAACATTTTAAGTCAAGGACTGCTTGTATTCTTTTTTAAAACTTGTATATATTGTTGCTGTGCAGCATCTAGTAGTTTAGACAAACTTATTTCTAGTACTGTCCACAGTAATTTATTTATCTATTTTATAATGTGTGACTATTTGTGCTCACAGGCCTGTATAAAGCAGCCCAGGGTTTTGAGTTTTTTTGTTCTATTTTCCCCTCCTGCTACAAATTTACTGTTGGAGATTCTTCTGTTCTTATAGTATTTTGATACATGGTGCTGTTCTTGGCTGTAAGGGGTTGAGCATGTCTCACCTATTTATATCAAGTGGCTCCCAAAGGGATTACAGCTCTAACCCTATCCATCTGGTTCTGAGACACGCTAAGTTTTGGCATTTGCTTGGCCTGTAATGGTCCTAGCAGGGGATAATGCTGGAAATGGAGGAGGAGGTTCCACACTTTCAATAAATCAGTGACTCACTCACTTTTTTTTTTTTTTTAAGTATAAGGGAGACCACCCAGGCTTTGCTGCTTCCATCACTGTGTTTTCTAAACCTGGATTTAATTTCCTGGAAAAAATATAGCCTTTTAGGGCATCATTAATTTTGAGATTTAAACAAATCACAGAATGTAGAGCTTGAAAATAGAATATTTACTGTCTTTCCACACGGTTGTTGGTGTTTAGGATTTCTGAATCTTCCTCCTATCCTTTCTTCCTCTTGGGTGACAATGAAGTCCCTGTTCTGGTTATGATGTTATAATCTGCAGCTCTGGGAATCATTTGAAAGCCCAACCCAGTGCACATCAGATTGGAAATCTTTTTCTTTTTTTGTGCCCATTTTCATTTGCATATAATTCCATGCCAGCTGTGTAACCCATCAGTGCTATAGGTAAAAAGCTAGGAGAGAAGCCACTCAGAGCTTTGTCCACATTCACCCATCAGTTACAATTCCACCATTCCCTGCTCATCTCCTCCCTCCTCCTGACCATGCAATTGGCCTGGTTCTCCAGACATGTATGCAGGTGATATGTTCATCTTTTCCCTGTGATTTTAATAGCGGGTTGGGGTGACTTTCATCAATTAAGTTACCCAAGCTTCTGCAAGGGGTTCTGTATAAGTAGGGGCTGCAGCCACATGATGGAAAGCCCTCATAGTCCATCAGACACACTGGGGGCCTGCCATGCTCTGCCTGCAAAAATGACTGCCAGGACCAGAGTCTGCCTGTGAAATTGGCTGGCAGCTGCCTCGACTTAGGTAGACTCCTATGTATAAGCGAGGTACATTGTACGTCACTTGCCTTCAGACTGCAAACAGAAACAGCGAGCTGTTTCCTGTACCCTTAAGAAAATTTAATGTGAATGGGTAGGGGGATGTGTCTGTTTCATTGGTCAAGGCATTAATTTTTCATTCAATTCAGACAGATTATTTTCCATATCATTTTAGCAGCACAGAGTGATCCAATTTATTTAATACCTTTCAATCCTATCCATCATGCCCTCACTGGTAGGGCACTGACCTACACAGAGCTTTAACAGGGCTCTTTTAGTGTGTTAACAGTGCCAGTTCTGCCATCAAGGGAGAAGAGAATTTTAACCAGGGTAGCAACAAATTCCACATCTCTTGTTAATGCCTCCTTATTCTTTAGAACAGCAGAATATGTATTAACAAATAGAAAATAATCATGTCAGCTTCCCTTATGAAAATCATCCCATTCTTAAACACAGTAGAGTTCTCACTCAAAGAAAAAAATCTTCTGCAAGACTAACTACCAGCAGTGAACATTTTCTTGGTCTCTCTGAATAACTGCTTCTAGAAGACCATTAGAACAATGCAAATGTGAATTCTAAGCTAGTTTGTAGATTTGGGCTTAGAACTACTAGGTTTAACTTTCTTATGTACTAGAGTTGTGGCTTTAATTTTTTACTCTTGATCTCTTGTCTACTTTTACAGGAGCTGATGCAGCAGAATGATATTGGTTATGTTTTAAATGCCAGCAACACTTGTCCAAAGCCTGACTTTATCCCAGAATCCCATTTCTTGAGAGTGCCAGTGAATGACAGCTTCTGTGAGAGAATTTTGCCTTGGTTGGACAAGTCAGTTGATTTTATAGGTAAGAAGCTTAGACAAAATGCCTCTTTTAAGATCCTCTCTTTATAACTGCTAGAAAGTCTCTCTTTCTCATTTAGGGTAAACTTTGCTCAATTTTCATTGGGTTCTGAATTATTCATGGGAGATATAAAAAGAAGTGCTATTTTAATTGGTTTTCCTTTTATTTATGGTTGTCCCAAGGGACTGTTATGATGAGATCTTGGGCTACTTGCTGCTGTAAATGTTGTTAGCAATCACAAGCTGATTTTAAATGAAGTATTTGTTATTTGTGTAAGTTTAAGTTGGTAAACAAATAAGGGAGTGTAAAATCAAGGTTTCTGATCTTCCATTTTTCTAGATTATGATGATGCAACAGGTTGTCCCTGGAGTTAATGCTAGACACTAATTCAAGGTGCTTTTAAGGGCCTGAAGTAAAGATATGTGTGGGTCACTTTCTCATGTTCAGTGAATTGTTTGACACGGTCTAGTGAACTCTTGGCCACTCTTTAGAAGCCAAAGTATTTTTAAAAAATGAACAAATGGATGTTCTGATCTTCTTGTGAACTTGAACAACTAGAAAAGTCTCATTTTGGTTTTTTTTAGAAATTCAGCTTTGCTGTGCCCAAAGGATTTGCCATCGAGTCAATACAGTAGCTGATCTAATTTGTTCCCCTGTCTCTGAAGCATTTATCCCCACCCACTTTCAGAGGCATGTATGAGATTTTTCATCAGGGCATGTTTTTTTCCTTTAAATGCCATTATTTAGTGATTGTTCCCATAGAACAGCACAATTTATCTTCGTTATTCTAATGTTTCTTACTCATTAGAATCTTCCTTTTCTACTCTTGGCTTCAGTAATGCCTTGTGGCAATGTCTCTCACTAAGGAGCCCTTTGTGTATGTCTTGAGCGTGATCCACCCATTTTGAACATGTTGTCTTTGTTTTGTTAAATGCCCTCTCATCCTTGGTGTGATGAGAGAAGGTAAGTGGAAGCTCCTGATTTTAGATTCCATTTTAGGAACATTGGCCCAGGCGGTGCCTTCTGAAGCTGTGTTCACAGGAAGCGGTTAACCAAAGGGATCCCCCAAATCACCACTATAAACCCTCATGGCTACAAGGAACACCATCTAAAATGCTAGGAACACCCTATTGCATTGGTGCCCAACCTTTTCATTCCATGGGTCAGATGGATGGTGCCATGTTTCTCCATGGGTTGGATTTGGCTGCAGGGTGTTGCACAGCCTGACTTTATTTGTCTGCTGAGGGTAGAGGTGGGATGGGGTAGAACAGTCTTGATCTGGATGCATGCAAGGGTGGGCAGGGGAACAACCGAGTCCTGATCCCAATGCAAGGGTGAGGTGGGGCAGGACATGACATAGCAAGGCAGCCATGATCCAGATGTGCAGGGTGGTGGGGGATAGTGGCAGCAGCCCAGCCCCAATCTGGATAAGGTGGGATGAAGCACCCCCAATCCAGACATGCAGGTTGATGGTGGGCACCAGTCCAGTCTGATCTGGATGCGTCAGGATGTGGGCAATCCTGATCCCGCTGTGTGGCCAATGGACCTAGCAGGGCTGTAGCCAGAGCTGTAGAACTTTCACTGCTCCCTGCTGCTAAGTTCTTTAACCCCTCAGGGATCCCCCATGGGCCAGGTGTCATGGCTCCACAGGCAGGATTTGGCCAGCAGCTCAGAGGTTGAGCACCCCTGCCCTATCGCATGCCATAATTAATAGGCAGGGAGAGGAGAGCACTGCCACTGCTATGGCAACAAGGAAGGGTTGCAATCATTTCGTACACTGCTGTTGTGACTCCTCTTGCTCACCTCTTCTCTAAACTAAGTGTTCTGCAGCTTTGCTTGCTCCTGCTACTGAAGTCTTTTCATGACTCCAGGCTCATTCTTTGCCCATCTGTGGATTCTTTCTTTCTGCTGTTTTTATTTAGAGATACAAGGAGCAGTACTCCAGGCACCATCAAGTTTATATAGCAGCACACTGATGATTTCATTATTTTTGTTCTGTTTCCCATGCATTCAAACATTTTGCTTGCTTTGCTTTTACTATCATTACTACACATTAAACGGAACAGAAGCCTGGAGTGGCTAGTTAACACAGAATCCAGCAACATTCAGTAAGTCAAATGATATATATCTGCATACAAGGCAATGCCACACGCAGTAACAAAAAAAATTTTTTTAAATGTGTGTTGTTGGGGGATGGCTAGGTAAGGATTGCTTTGGGAATTGGCCTACCTCCTGACACTTATGCAGATATGCAGCCATCAGAAAATACCAGCTAATAGGTAAGCTTTGGAAGGAGAAATACCACCAGCATTCTCATTCATTGAGTACTTCTGCTTAAGGTACTGGAAGCAGAAGCAGCTATTGAGATTTGATAAACCAGCTTAATGGCTCTACATTATTATAAATGATAGCAAAACTATAAAAGGAAAAGGAGAGTTAAATGCTAATGACTCAACAATCGCTGTTAATACCTACATAGCATTATATAAATATCCCTTTGTGGGATGCTGTTGGCTCATGTTTGGCTCTAAATTCAGGATTTCCTAAAAATAAGTTTATTCAAAAGCTACTAATGATAGAAACTTAACCACAGCTTTTTCTGTAATAACATTTTAACAAGTGAATAATCTGGTACAGCTTTTATAACAATATGATAAATGAGAGTCTTTAACCTGACTAAAAAAAGTTAAACTGATTTACTGTCTGCACATCTGTTTAACACAGGCAATGAAATACAGTGAAAACTGGCTAAGATGGAATTGTGCAGGGCTGGGAATAGGTTCCGCCTTGACCGGTGTCAGTCATATAGAGGGAGCCTTCCAGCTGGGATGGCATGCTAGGACTATAGAAATTTTCTAATTTGAGCAGGTTATACAGGTTCCATCTTAAACAGGGTTCACTATACAGTACATAAAACATAATACAAATATTGCAAGATAGTAATTACTTCACATGTAAACTTTCAGCTTTGAAGCAAACTCAAAGTATTGTCATCAACTTCTGGGCTCCTCCTTTTATTCTTGTCTTACTATTTACCATTTTGTCACCCACCCAAAACATGTTTGCTTGTAAATACTACAGTGTTTCTGTTTTCTTCATGTCTGAAGACTGCTCTTTCTGGTAATGTGATCAATGTTGAATCACCCCTTGAAGTTAATGGGAACAATATCAGTTGCCAACAACTCTATTGCTCATGAGAAATTCTGGACAAGAGAGAAGGTATTGTGTTTAGAACAAGCAAGGGAGCTGCATGTGTGACTTGCTCTCTCCACTTAAATGCTGCCCCACGTTCTGAAGGTAGCCACATTGCTTCCTTGGCATGTGCTTCCTTTTGCTGGTGTTTTAAAATAGGGAATAAACACTTTCCACAGCCCTTCCAAGGATTGAATGTGCACACAGAGATGACAGGTGTTATATGGTGTGACGGCAAAGTAACCGTTCTAATACAAGAAGAGGTCAGTATGTGTACGTGCAGTGAAAGAGAAAACTATAGCAATGCTGATTTCTGTTTGAAGCTTCGATGGAATCTATAAGTGTTGAATTTTAAAGTTGTATGTTTTCTTTGCAATGGTTTTAGCACAACGTAATGCTCTTCATGCTGACAGCTGTTTTGTTTTGGGTTTTTTTGGCCCTCCCCTTTCTCCCCCATACAGAGAAAGCAAAAGCATCAAATGGGCGAGTTTTGGTGCACTGTTTAGCTGGGATATCACGCTCGGCCACAATTGCTATTGCATATATCATGAAGAGGATGGATATGTCTTTAGATGAAGCCTACAGGTAAAGAGAGAACTTCCCTTTTATGAGAATCATTAAGTTGGTAATGCAAGATAAATTATTAAATCCTAAGTAAGGAGGAGACATTTTTATTTCATCCTATGCCTCACTTGCTTTTGGTCCAAGAATGCTTCAGGTCACTATTACTTTAAATACAGACTATTGTGGGCTTATCTCGGTAGAGGTTTATAAAATAAATGAAATACATGCCTCATAATGATTCCTGAGCACAGAATGTGGTCTTGGGAGAATAAGTACTTGGAGTCAATAAGGGGGTAGAAAATTTTAAATGCATAATAGCCAAGTATAGACTGAGTAAACAACCTGTAAATCAGCATTTCTGTAACTTGTGCCAATGTAAGCCACTGCACTCTAATGTAAGAGGAAAAATCTAATGTGTAGTGTAGCTTATGTGGTCTGTTCACTCTTCTAGCATTAAGAAAAAAACCCAAAGATCTTAGTGCTAGCATTAGATGACTCTCAGATAATGTCTTTAGGCCAGTGTCTTCTAGGAATTAAGTAAACTGAAAAGTTAATTGTTGCTCTTTGAAAATTCACTCAGATCTCTTAGAAATCTGTTGAGTTTATTGTTGGCTTTGTGGAGTCAAAGATTTTTGGAACTGAGTGCACTTTGCAGAAATGACCAATGTTGTAATTCAGTTATTGTAAAGAGTTCACACTTTACAATAAATTCCTGAAGGCCTGAACATTTTTATCACAATTCTGTACTTCACTGGACAAGCCCATTGTGCTCCCTTTTGGGGCTTATTTTTTCTTCTTATTTGCTTGTAAGCATATTGGTATCATTGATAGCATTCTTGGTACCAGAAGGAATAGTATTTTGAACAGCTGCAACAGTGCAGGTAGAGGGGCACCTTGGGATGGCATTCTGTTTCTTGCCCTGGTCATCTAAGTGTCCAAGTGACTATTCACCGAGTATGTACAGTACTAACCAAGGCCCATACGTATGCCTTTGGTAGATGGATAGCAACCTTAGATACTCTGAAACGGAGTCACCCAAAACCTGCATCTACAAGAATTAGCCTAGAGTAGAAGATATGGAGGTGGGTGCCCCTATTTGCCACGTAGCTCAATGATTGGGGCACTTATTTGGGAAGCTGGAGACCTTGGGTTTTAGGCCCCCTTCACCCAGAGGGTTTTTGAATCCAGGTGAGTAACCTAGCTACTCAACTATTTGGAAAAAGATGGGAGAGAGCTTCTGCACCTGCTCCCTCTCTGTCCTCTACATGTCTATGAATAGAATGGCAACCTGTGTGTAGATGTCTAAGTCTGGACACTTAAATGACCAGGAAAGAATAAAACACCACCCCTTGCGCACCACCCCTATTATATCTCTGTGTTTTCTAATAATGGCTATGACTTGAAAGACAGATATTGAAAATCTAAGAATAATTTCAATTCTAATGAGGGAATTTTCTCTGGAAATGATGCATTTGATTATGTGCGGTAGAGACTGTTTGCTTTCAAGAGCTGGTCTCTAGTCTATAGAGGCATACATATCATGCAAGATCTGGCTGCGTGCAGCACACCCTTGTTTGGTGGGACTTTGAAGGAACTTTCATTACATGTGGTGAAAGTAGTTCAAATGACAGGTGCCAGATGAACAAAACCAGCAGTTGGGGAGGAAGTGAGCACAAGAATACACTGTTTTTTATGTTCAGTAGATTACCTGTTTTGCTGGCAGCTTATCAGATTTTTGTGATAGTGGTTTTGAGGTAGTTATGAATGATGAAAAGCACTTGCTGTCAACAGAAAGGAATACTTCTCAGAGAATTTTAAAATGAATTCCAATTGGTCAGTCTCAGTGCTTTGTCACCAAGACTGTGGAAAAGGACTCTCAATTGTGTGGTGATTGTTTCTTTTACCAAAGAACTGCATGGAAAATGTTGGGGGAAAAAAATATTACAATAGCTAGAATTTTATATTTCACTGTATTTACCTCTTCCTGTGATAGACCGTTCAATGACTATACCAAAGGAAGTCACAGGGAATGTACTCATTTGTTGGGGGGGGGGGGGGGGGGGGGGGATGTTGTAGGCATTTAGTTTATTTTCTCAGTTAGTGAGAGGTAGCAAGCAAACAAAATAACACTCCTATCTGAAAACAGTTTTCTAGTGTTTTCTTCAAACAACATCTACAATATACAATGAGTGAAAGATCAGAGAAAAATTCTCTCCACTTTATCTTGTATATTTTGATTTATATAGAAGAAGAAATAAAATTGAGTACATGTAACCCATTTCCTTTGCTTAGAGAAGCTCTTTTTATGTTTCTTTTCAAATGAAAAGTATTTCTAAAACCATAAAAACTAGCAGGTCGACTCAGCAGAGGAACCTGTAATAACTTCATTTTCTTTTTAAGTGACTTTTTTAAAGATAAATCCTGTTCTGAAAGAGGTATATTAGGGACTCTAGGCAGTACATGGGGTAGAAATGATAATGTAACTGGACGGAGCTATTGTAATTACAATACTTAATTTTTCCATAAAGCACAACGAATATTGAAAGGAAAACAATTGGTGCGAAGATGGAATGAAGGCTAGGGGCTGAATTTCTGACACTAAAATAAATGGTCCGGGTTCTTTGTTAACAGCTTTTGAGCTACAGAAATCTTTGCAGAATCAAGCCCCCACCACGCCTCTGCTGTAGAATTTCTCCATCCACCAGAAAACAGTGTGTAGTAGTGGTGGCAGTAGTTTCAACTGCTGTTTTGTACATCCTTTCTGCCCTTTCTGTCCAAACAGCTTGCTCATCTACTTTCACTAGAGTATTGGGAAAGAAGAGCCCAAGCTATAACCAAGCAGTTCAGTCCTTCTCATGACCTGTCCGTCTGATTGATGTTAGTTGCAAAAACTGGGGGGGGGGGTTGTTTTGTGTTTTAAAAGCAGCAGGATCTTGTGATTTGGTTGTGTAAATTCTTGTTGGCTTCCAGCCAGACTAAGAGGAAAAAATCCATATACTACCAATGGATATGTTAAACAAGCAAAACACATTTTAACAATGAGCTTTCAAGAGTGTTTACTTTTCTAAGTGGCCTACTATAAGTGTGTAACACATGCATGGGTGAGAAAAATATAACCTTCCCCTGAGGTGCACTAGCTCTTCATGATTCATCCCTGTGTTAAATCCAGGAAAATCCTGGGATTCAATATTTTTGCTTTCCTTTAATGGCTATTTATATTCCCTCATGCATGCCCACACTGCTTGCATATTATGATCCTGCAACCATGTTTCTTGGGCTGCTGCTTCTGCTTATACTGGCTTTTCAGGATTTAGTCCATTTGTTACCTGCCGCACTCCAGCATGGATTGTGTGTACACACTAAAAGACCCAGGAAAGACGGGTAGTATTCCTGGACTTATAATGCATAAATCAAAGGAGTTGTCAAGATGTTCCTGTATTTGCTTCCACAATAATGGTTTTCAAACTGGATTTTAATAGTGGCAGCAGAGCTTCTGATTGGTCCGCTTGTGGTAAGTAATGGTGGTGCCACATGTTGAGGTCAGTGTTGACTCTTCCTAAGGAATGAACATGCAGAGGCAGTGGGCATAGGGGATAACAAACAGTGGTCTATGCAGGGAAAGGGTACATGGCCAAAAAGTTTGAAAACCATTTCCTTCAGACTCTGTTTCAGCAGTGGACTTCAAGTACATATGTAATTTCATGCCTTTTCAACAAAGAATGTAAATACATGCTTAAGTGTACACATGTACTTTAAACACTGTTGACTTCAATGGAACTTAAAGAAGCATTAAGCTCTTTTCTGAATAGGGATGGGTCAGAGGTGCCTATCAGCAAATCAGGAGGAATCTATTGCAGTAAAATTCTTTGTCCGATGCCAGTGCACAACTCTTCATGTTGCATTCTTAAATTTGGATACATGTAGGAGACTAGGTGCATTGTAGAAACCCACTAGTTTTTTACCTGGCAGAAATTGGCTCCAATATGCTGCAGTATAGATGAGCCTCGCCCAAAACGAAAGAGACCAAGGGCTGGGAAGTACTAATGTTAGTCAGGTGAAGTACCTGTAATGTAACACTTGGGAGTATTAAGAGGTGATCTGCAAGAGAGAAGAAAGAATGAGCTTACAGAGTTCTGTTAACAGAGCTCCATTAGCCAGCAGTGCAAAAAGATCATGTCCTGTGTTCCATGTAGCTCAGCTGACAAAATGCTTAGTGTGGACAGCAGCTGGTATAGCTGGAGCTGCAGAAAAGTTCCTGTTGGCAGAGCTTGCTTAGTGCTGCTATTTGAAGCAGCAGCAGCCTCTGTAATGTAGACAAACCCTTGCACAATTTTTTTTTACTTCTTTCAACTGTAAGCTCTTTGTGGAAAGGACCATCTTCTTGTTCTACACTTGTACATGTTGCCTTTGGCAAGGACTATAGCTGCTATGGTAATGTTCTTACTTTATAAAAGGCTGAGGCTAAGTCCAGAAAACAAACAAGGTAGTCAAAACTGCAAAGTCCAAAGTTTAAAAAAAAAAATAAAAAAAAAATACAAGGACTCCTTTTCATTCCTCTTATGCCTCATGTATAATGGAGGGGTTCAAGGAAGAACCCCACTTCTCCCTCTTCCAGTAACCTTTGAGAAAAGTGCTCTAATTTGTGAGGAAAAATTTGTGGGAGGTATCTAGCTGCTTGCCTTTGAGTCATCCCAATCAAGCCATTGCTCTCCTTGCTTTCCCAGCTATTGAATACCTGCATTCCACTGAACTGGAACACAAGGACCTGAACAGGACCCAACCAGAGCTATAAGCCTGGAGTGCTTCATGGGAAGAGAAAGGTCTTAAAATAATTCTTTCCTTCTTTTTTTTTTTTTCTCCCCTTTTCCCCCCTTTTTCTAGGTTTGTGAAAGAGAAAAGACCAACCATTTCCCCCAACTTCAATTTTCTGGGTCAGCTTTTGGACTTTGAGAGGAAGATAAAGACCCAGGCTGGGCAGCCTGGCCCAGTCAGCAAGTTGAAGCTGTTGCATTTGGAAAAAAGCAGCGAGCACGGACTGATCCCAGACAGTGGCCAGAGCAGTGGCGCCTCCCCTACTCAGCTCTGCACTAACTCTACCTCTGGGCCTGCAGAACAGAAGCCACTGGACTCCGGAAGTCTTTCGTGCTCGCACTTGGTGTCTTTAGAGGATAGCTCGCTGGTACAGGGCCTAAATGGACTCCACGTGTCTCTGGACAAGGTAGAGGACAGCAATAAACTGAAGCGCTCATTTTCTTTGGATATCAAGTCAGTGTCCTACTCAACAAGCAGCAGCTGTGTGACTGCATCAGTGCAGGGCTTTGCCTCGTCAGAGGATGCTCTGGAGTATTACAAACATTCAACGGCTTTAGACGGCAGCAGCAAGCCGTGCCAGTTCTCCCCTGTCCAGGAAGTTTCGGAGCAGACACCCGAGACCAGCCCTGATAAAGAGGAAGCCGATCCTCCTGAGAAATCCCAGAATGCCTGGCAGCCGGACAGCCAGAACAAGCGGCAGCACATGGGAAGGCCCAGCAGCAACTCCAGCACCGCCCAGCGGTCGCTTCTGTACCCACTGCATCGGAGTGGGAGCATGGAAGACAACTATAGAACAAACTTCCTCTTTGGCCTTTCCACAAGTCAGCAGCACTTGGCAAAGTCTGCTGCTGGGCTAGGCCTCAAAGGCTGGCACTCTGATATCTTACCACCTCAGACCTCCACCACATCCCTCACCAACAGCTGGTATTTCGCTACAGAAGCCTCACACTTCTATTCAGCATCTGCTCTATATGGGAGCAGTGCCACTTACTCGGCCTACAGCTGCAGCCAGCTGCCCACTGGTTGCGACCAAGCCTGTGCTGTGCGCAGGAGGCAGAAACAGAGTGACAGAGGTGATTCGAGGCGCAGCTGGCATGAGGAGAGCTCCTTCGAGAAGCAGTTCAAGCGACGGAGCTGCCAGATGGAATTTGGGGAGAGCATCATGTCAGACACCAGATCCCGTGAGGAACTGGGGAAAGTGGGCAGCCAGTCAAGCTTTTCAGGCAGCATGGAAATCATTGAAGTGTCCTGAGCAATGACAGGCAGCCGTGACCATATAGCTGAGTTGGTGTCCTTGTTGTTTAAAATAATTTCCCTGTAAATCTGAATTTTTTTTTTTTTTTTGGTTAAAAAGGAGTGGGGCTTCAGTGTGACGGCAGTGAATAGATTTCTATCTATATAAGATATAACAAACTAATATCCGCACTGGGGAGCCAACGGCCAGATCACGTTCCACTTGGTGGGTGCCTACGTGGGATTCAGTTCCACCAGGTTTGAATTCTCTAGAAATATTGCAAATGCAAAGGTGGGTGGATCATCATCATCCTCACTCCTAAGGGGATGGTGTATTATGACAGGAGATGAGGTAATGGCTTTGCAGGGACTCCAGAGGGATGGAATGGGATTGTCCTTAGGCCTATTTGGTGGAATAGGATCTGGTCTGACTGTCATCTTTTTTTCTCCCCCTCCCCTAAAAGTGGATGGGCAGATGTTTCAAAAGGTTGGGGGTTTTTTGGTAATTTTTGGTATTTTTGTTTGTTTGCCTAACAGGTAAAGCGATTTTGTTTGTTTGTTTGTTTTTGTTTTAAATATGCGATGAATTGCACATCCTTGAAACCCTTTTGTTCAAAGGAAGCTTTCTTGGCAGCAGGCCATCTCCTTGGCTCCACTGAGACACATTACTAAAAAGCAAAGCTAGTTCTTTCCTCTCCCCCTGCTCCCCAAATCTTCAACAATGCACCTTAGCCCTGAGACTGAGCCAACTTCTAGAGGGAGACTATTTTTCTTCAGGACAGTGACTAGTAGTGAATCCAAAAAAAATAAGTGACCAATCACAGTAAGGCTGGTCTGAAAACCAAGTTGAGACAATGTACATACTGATGTAACTATCATTCTAATGGACAGGATTTAGGTGACTGGATAGGGAGCTGCTGTAGAGGGGGGGGAAAAAACAGTACCTCAAAAAATAAACCTAGGGCTTTCATAATTGCTGGCCTCTGGGTGTTGGGTCATAAGCAATGTGAATAAGTAGATGACTAGCCATGTTTTGAGGTTGATTTCAAGCTGTCTATGCACAGGATTTTTTTTGTTTTTCAGTTAGCTGAGAAAAGTGGTTAAAAATCCATCTTCTCAAAATAGGCCAACTACCCTCTTGATTTTTAAATGAAAAATAGAGAGGGGTTTTTGACATTGGATATGACATTGGAAAACTGGCTTTTGAGGGGTAGACCTGTTTATCTCTAAAGGTGAGATTAGAAAAAGGAACTGAATTACTTGGTGGCTGGCAGAGTAGTTAATGCTGGGTGCAAATAGAGGAGGGAAGGGGAAGGTTGATACTTTTCTCCCACACTGTTTAGGAGGTGGGCAATGTATTCCACAATGTTGCCCAAGCCCAAAAGATTTTTACGTGGATAAACTCCCCTTGCACATCCTCAGTCCGTCATATCAACTGACTTCAGTTGTTAATACCAATTTTTTGTATTTTGACAGAAAGAAGCCCTACTAGCCTGAATGGTCCAGGATAGAACACAACATTAAGCTCTTTCCCCCCCCCGCCCCCGCCCCCTCCAAATGTTATTTCTTTAATGGAAAATGTGTTTACTTCCAGCACTCTATCCTAAAGCAGTCCCCATTGGGCCAGTGTTGTTCTGGGTCCCAAGGCTAGTTTTGTTTTTTGTTTTTTTTCCCTGATGTGCTAATAAAATATGGTATTACTGATGGTAAGGATCCCAGACCCTGAGACTGCCATCCTTGTTGCTGGCTGGTCACTCTTTTTAGAGGCAAAGACGCATCAAGAATATCTCATTTAGGGATTCTCTTGACATGTCCCTGCTGGCAGAGGGGGCAGGGACACTTTCAGGGTGCCTTCAGCATTGTGTTTTTGCTTGGCAAGGGAGAAAAACCACTGTTTTTGCTCCAGCCCATGATTCCTGTGGGATGCTGGCTGCCACTTCCCCAGGCCACTCTGTGAGTTGCTGTAAATCTTGTGAGGAATTAACAACAACAGAGGCCCAATATTATGCTTCATTGTTCAGTCCTGCATTGACACATGATAATTCTTTATATCTTTGCCAGTGTCTTTCAGTGCATACGTGGCATTGTGGGTGTTGAGGGGCAGGAGAGAGATGTGGGCTGCAATGTTTGTACAATTTCAGTGCAGGCAGCTGAAAATATAAAACAAGTATAATAAACTATGACTTAACTGCTTTTTGAAGATGTTGGCTAAGGTTTTTTCAGCAAAGATCTGGTAGTCACTGAAGCCCTAAATAAGTCAGCGGCTTGTTTTGTTTTACTGTAAGTGTAGCTAGATGGTGACTCAAATCTCAGGTTTTACTATATCGAAAAAAGGACAGGATTTTGTCTGTCTGTCTGTCATGGTTTTGTTTTGGGGTTTTTTTTGTTTTTGTTTTTTGTTTTTCTCTTTGTGGCTAGGATGTGACTTCAATTTCCTATGGTGGACTGTTTAAAACTAGTACTGAGAGAAAGCTACAAAGTTGATTAACTTGATCCTAAGGAGCATGAGAGAGACAAGAGAGACAGCAACAGAAGTGGTTGAACATATAAGATTCATTTGTTCCATGTGTATGAAATGCAGGGAGAGAGGGTGGTTTGGGTCAGGGGTAGGTTGATACCACATTGCAAAGTAAGACGGGTCTTGGCTCTCCATTTAAGCATATTGCCACTGTATGCTGATATATCAAGTGAAAATGACTCTGACAACTGTTTTAGCCTGTACACACACTGTATGTGCACAATTTATAGAAATTAAAGTATTTAAAGAAATCCCTAACAGAGAAGAAAAACTCTTTTGCAGCTGAAATCTGGGCTTGACTTCTCTTGATTTCTAGCATCCTCTGAATCGGTGAAGCAAGGACAGGGTGCTAAAGGCTCAGCACTTGTGTAGGCTGGGTCCTTTTAAGCACATGGTGGAGAAGAGAGCCTGGAGCTTGTCTGGTCTGTGGGTGGCTGGTACCCTATCTCATTTGTACCTGAATGATGCTGGAAATGGTTTAAGAAGTTTGGAAAGTGAGGTGGAGGATGGGGGGAAGAAATGTGTACATGTTTTAATTTGAATATAATGTTCTTTTGGCGTATGGCAAGCTGTTTAAATGGTTCAAAGAGGTGTGAGTTTCTCATCTTGTGTTATGAGCATTACTTGTACGTTATGATGAAATAAAATTGGACGTGGTACCTGTTTATATAGAATGGCTGAGAAGAGCTGTTTATAATCAGCTGTAGAACATACATGCCACGTCCAGCTTAAAATACAATACCAGGAGTGTCCATATGGTATGTTGCCACTCTTTGTAGCTGCTACTGATTGTCATGTAGGCTGCTTACCAACATGAAAAAAACCCAAAAAAAACAGCACTTTAAGCTCAGCGTGCCCCTGCGCTCAAGCACAGCACATGCCTAGAAGAGGTGGCATGTTACTTCAGCCTGGCTTGCCAGCATCTGTTTGGATTGTGCACTTCAGTGGGACTTTCTGGCGCTTTTATCTAGTAGCTGATTGAATCAGCTTTGGATAAAAACACCAAAAAGCCCCACTGAAGCGCGTGATCCATAGCCACTGGGCAGCCGGGTCAAACTAACGCACTTCCTCTTCCAGGAAAGCACTATTTATTGGGGGGGGGGGGGGGGTTTCACATCTGTCAGCAGCCATAGTGATGAATTAATGGGTAGTTTTTTTGCAGTGTCCAAACAAATACTTAGCTGCCTTCCTTGAGCTTAGTAGCCCCCAGGAATCGGAAGTGACTCTGCAGTTTCAGTCACCCTACCCTGCCTATTTCTGTTCATCACACCTTCTCCCAATTCGAACAGTAGCTGTTGCTGTCTCTGCATTAACCTTTAAATGGTCTGCTATTATCAAGCACAGTTGTACTGTGGTTCTGCTTTACAAGGCAATAATCCAGTTCCCAAGTGATCAACTGAGTGTTTGCTGCAAGGCAACAGCACAGCTGTTTTACAAATATTTCAAACTGCTTAAATTACAGGGACAAACTTTACTTGCTAAACAAAGCTAGCAGAAAGAACTCGAGTCTAACAGTGCCGGTAATTGGAGAAACCAACTTTACATGCTGAGGGGGGAGTTGCAGTTGAAGGGAGTGTGGGCATGTTTACTGTGTCCCTCTTAAGCATGGAGAGTTATTACATGTACTAGTGTGCTGATGTCTCTTGATGAAGCTGAGATTGTACAGGAATACAGCACCAACTAGTTTTGACCCACAAGCTGGTAACAAGCACTGTCACCTGCCTCTCTACTGCCACTACAAACCCATTTTTGCAAGGCTTTTAGTAATGTCTCATTAAATCCCAAAACTTAAAAGTAATAGTATAAACTGCAGATCTTTATTTAATGGACAAAAGATGCAGAAGGAAAGGGAAGCCAGAATTATCACTCTTTTCTTCATTTAAAGAACAGCACAATTGCCCACCAACAGCACAAGTGACCAGCAAGCATAACCTTTTGTCTCATTTACAGAAAGCAAGCACAAGCGCTGAATAAAAGCTCAAGTCTACTAAAGGGGAAAAGAAAGTAAGTAAATGTAACATCACACTAGACTGCATCAAGGTCTTGCATTTTAAGTAAAGTCTCCATTTCAGCCTGGCCCCAATCAGTCCAGTTCTGATAGACATAGAAAAATAAAGTACTCCTTGTTCCCTTTTAAGGTCTATTTCTGAGGAGTCTGCTTTCAGTGAGCAGGCTTATCTTTCTCCCCTTCCTCTCACCAACTTTGCATGCCTCTGCTCCTCTCCCCAAAGCACCCCTGCTATCAGGAAGACAGCCAAAACCATCTCTAATTGGCACACTGGCAGCAGGTGCTGAAAAAAGACAAATATTGTCAGTTATATCATCTACCACCACCAACCAGTTTTAATATTGTGCTCAATTCTGCCGCCTCACAGTGCCACCGAACTTCTAAAATAATTAGGAAATGCATTGGTTCTTTACATAGTTTCAGCTAATGGCCAACTGCAAGGTGGTTCACTGCATAACAGATATATAATGCAGAGCAAATCTGGTACAGTGGAGTGCAAAAAACTTAAAACTGATTAACCTACCAGGTTGCCCAACAAATTTCAGGACGAGTGGTAAGTAACTATTTCTTGACAAACTCTTCCCTTGCTTTCTCCCCTCCCCTTCCCCAGCTTTCCCCTTCTAGTGTTGACAGACTTCTCCAAAGATGTATTTGGGCAGGAAAAGCTCAAGTGTCAAAGACGCAAATAAGTAAAAGTGGTGATTTGTCTCTACTGTTAATTATGAATGCAGTGACTATAGGACATCATTTGATAGCTAGTGCCTGTTCGATTTGACTGTCTCTAACCATGGCTGGCACTTTCCAAAGCATTCGCTCCTTGGTTTTTACTTTAATCCTCTTCAGTAGGTACAGACTGACCCCATGCTGAACATTTATGAAAGCTCTACCCAAGGTGATCTTGCATGAAATCCACTATGCTGTATATCAAGCTGTTTAAAGCTTAGCAAAAACTAACTTATCTGACATTAAGTTCAACAGCTTTCTGTACTCACAAAATACATCTTATTTCCTTAAATCCCTGCCCAAACTAGCATCTATGTTAAAATTTTTAATAGCCCCCTGAGGTAAAACATCCATTGTTATAATGCTGTTGTATATAATACCACCAAACTTCTCATAAAAATGCAAACTTTAGGATTCATTAGAATCGGCTTAGTTCCACACTACAAAACTCTGTTCCATGTCTGAAATTAAACCAAGCAGTACCTTCTGCGTACTCCAGATGAAATCATCACTGCAAAGTACGCGAAAGTTACTTCAGCCGAGTCTTAATTATTTTGCGCTGTCTGGATTTTAAGGACAACTATTATAAATAAAAGAGAAAGTGGGGGCTATTTTGAGCATTGTGCAGTTCCACTCCTTCCAATAAAGTGCTGGGTTTCTTTGCTTTGTTTTTGGGTCAGCTGGAATGTAACTATACTATTATCAACTGCTGCGAAACAGGCTGGAAGACTGGAAGCTGTCCTGTTAGAGGGAAGTGCTGGCAATTAGTCATTTTGGTAGGCATGATTCCAGTTCCTACTTGGGATCCAGGATGGTAGAGTTGTAATAGCATTGTATGCACCCATCAAAAGTAAACTCTGGTAGTTAGGTAACAGATCTTTTGACTAAGTTTTCTGCTTGGATGGTGACAGGGGAAGCAGATCAAACTAAGGCCCCAAATTTGCAGTTGATTCTATATGAGTCAATCTTGACATTGTGATGTCCTATGGAGAAGCTCCTATGGCTATCACCGGGGTTCTGTATGACCACATAGGACTGCCTTCCCTCTTTGGGTGACTGGGTACATGGTTTAGGATGCATTTCAGCCCCTTGATGCTCGCTTCCAGGCTTGTGAATAATGTGAAACAGCACTAGGCCAGAGCTGTTTTCCTCTTGAATAGGAAGATCTGCTGCAGCATGGGAGATGGTTTGGATAGAGGCTGCTGCTCACAGTTCCAGGTATGAGTATGCTCCCAGAGCATTATCCTTTGTCCTTACTCATTTATCTTACCCCAAATGCCTTTCAGAGGCAAACCCTCCCTTCCACTACGCAGAGGGCCTTAGTGAAATGGAAACCATACACATGCATGGCAGTAGGATATAGGGATGGTACAAAGGGTTTCCTCCTCTGTTTGAGTCCAGCAGGTTAATGGTGAAACTGTTGCCTCTAAACTCACTTATTGATAATTTTTTATTATTACCAAGAGAAGGCTATTACAGTGATGATGTGTTTTAAAGCTGTGTTTTGTGAACCAAATGGCAATATCACACTTCTTGCTTTTCAGCAGAAGCTGATATTGGTTCCTGGAGAAATGGGTATATCTGCTGAAAAGCTGATTCCAAAACCCAGCTTTTCTTGAAATACATTTGACTGCTGAAACTTTCTGTAACCTACAACCCTTTCCTATCCTTCAGTGATTTAGTGCATAGGGCCTTTAGATAATATAATATTCACAGCTCAACTCAAGCTAGCTTGCAGAATGAGACTGTTACTTTTTAAATAATCATAAGATACATAACACAATCAAGTACCTTCTAAAACCAAGGGTATTTCCCCCCCCCCCCAAAAACAGTCAGCCTAAAAGGAGATTCCAGTGTGAATCATACATTCTTCTTTATTACTGAAAACAAAAACAGTGACAAACACAGTAACTATTTCAAGCCAAGGTCATCTCCTGGGTTATGGAGACTTGAGAATGACCTTAGACACCAGCCCAGAGGGAGAGCATCTTCCTGCTGCTTTTCACTGAAGGAAGCTGCTTTTCACCAGGAGTAAACAACTATTCACAATGAACTGGAGGATAGGCAGTACCCCTTCCACCCTCCCATTAAATATGTAAGCTACCCCAGCTTTGGACAGCTCTGAGAAAAATCCCCAAGTAGTGCTCAAGACTGTGTCTTTAATTAGCCTTACACACCTCTGTGAAGTTGGGCAATGCTATTAGCCTCATTTTATAGATGGGAAAGAGGCAGGCAACTGAAAATTAAGACTTAGGCCCAAGCTAGAAGAAGTCTGTGTTAGAGCAGGGAACCTAATGATGCTTATTTAGGACCCTGAAGACCTCAGTTAACAATGGGAAGGTTGTTCTTCCTCACATTTAGAAGCAACAATGGCCCATCCAGTTTAAGGAGAAAATAGGAACAAGATAGTTAGTGGCTGTCACTGGCTGTGTCCCTGAACACAGGCTAACAAGGGGAGAGGCTTATGACAGAAAGTGCTGCTCATTCAAGACTTCAAGCTCATCAGCAGCAATCCCAAGCCCTAACTGAAACCCACTGCTGTGAACTCAGCACCGAAACTCTTTACATAAAGCTGAGAAGAGCAGGGGCAGAACTACTAAGCACACAGCTCTCAAGCAGACTGAGGAGGAGGAGAAGGAACCATAGAGGGATGGAATAGGACACATGAAGAAGTACCAGGCTGTTCTTGCACCAGCAGCTAGTGCCTCTCCAACTACTCTCAGCTCTTTTCACTACGTTCAAAGCAGTTCAATATTCTCATTGTAATTATCACACTGGAAAAAGCTGGGACATGGACTGCAGCTGAAAGTCAGACAAGCCTCTTCTCTCCTTCCCCCACCACGCTCCAAGACGTTAAAGAACTGAACCAAACTCTCACTGCTTAACACAGGTATCATATCGCTCATTCAAACAGGACTCCACTGGAATCAGGAAAGACTCCTAGAAGGAGACCACTGACTTCATTCCTTGAGAATGCTTGTTGACATGTTTCTGAGGCAGGGCCAGACTAATTGACACACACATCTTATGTGAGAGGACTTGCTGAGGAAGGAGAAGAGGAATGAAAGAGAAAAGCAGCACCACTGGGTGCAAGAAGAAAGCCAAGTTATAGAATCATAGAAAAGTGGGGCTGGAAGGGACCTCAGGAGGTCATCTAGTTCAACCCTCTGCTCATGACTTTAGAAGCCATTTAAAATGGGGGCAGGGGGACCAGGGAGAAGGAGAAGATAACAGCTTTGGGCATCTAGCTGGACTGTGGAAAGCAAGACCAACTCATGGAAAAACCCCACCCCAAGGAGCAGTATTGATAGCTATAACACAGGCCATTATCAGTGCAGCAATAAAGCAGAAAGTATAGCCCTGAACTAAGTCGTACAAGCATACAGTTTTCATTAAAGCAGGCTTGAGTCAACACAGGAAAAGAGTGAAAGATTATGATGGTTTCAAAAGGCCCAATCACCTTGACCCCTCTGACGAAGGAGAGAAGTAGGTTCTTGCTGCCAAAAGGGGACAGTAAAGGTGTTTGTGCCTTTTTGCTGTAAAATGACCCCACCCCACCATCATTACTTTAAAAGAAAAGAAAAAACACCTTTTTTACCTCTGCTATCATTAGGATAATCCATGCAGTTTTTGTTGTAGAAATAGAGACTTAGTTCTTAGCATCCCTGGAGCATGGAGCTAAATCTTATAGTAAGAACTGTTCTCCAAAGCATCTAATGAGTTTGGGCCAATTAAGTTTTAATGTTATAAACAATGCACCCAGGTTTCAGTGCTCTGCCCCTTTTACGACAGAAAGCAGTGAAGAAGGGCAAACCTATTTATTTTTCCTTTTGTCGCTCACCTCTGAGTGCAGCCAATGTCAGGGCCATAGGGCTGCATCTTTTTCACTGGTGCTGGCCAGGGGGTTTTCATGACATAAAAGAGCACCACAAAGTAGAGAGAGGTCTGGTGGGTTTAGAAAAGCATTAACAGGAAGTAAGTTGAATTACAAGCCAACTCTTGTCTGAAACGACAAAGGAGAGAACAGCATGCCTGTCCCATCAGGCACTGCAGGCATTTGAGATGACTTGGAGAAGCAGGTTGTGGAATAGACTGGAAAGGGCAGCAAGTAAAGAAAAAGTGCCACCAGGCAACTTGTGGAAGATGATAACTGCCCATCCCTTGGCAAATGGTCTAAAGACTTCTGGGTAATAAGCATTAGTGATGGAGACTAGTGATTGACTCATTATTTATAGAACAGAGAGATGTTACCTGACAGTTTACAGAACTAATATTAAGCAGAGATGATTCTTGTCACCTGTTGACTTGTGACAAATATTTATGTAAAAGCCTTTGAAAAAGTTTGTCACTGGGACCCAACTATGTAATTTCCTTCCAGTTAAACTAGTAGTGTTTAATACTTTACTTTCATACCCAATGCTGAGCCCCTCTTTCCTGTGTTTCCTTACTATTTAGATAGCACTCACAGGCTACTCAGCAGCACCCAGGGATCCACAAGATGGGATCCCTACCCATAAATATTTTTTCATTACCAGCCTTGTGGCTAGATGTTTCATGGCAACCACTCACAAATTAGGAAGCTGCTCACTGTGGCAAAGCTGGATTACTTCCTTAGTTCCCACAATGGTAAAAATGGGGGTAATATTCAAGCTACCACCTAAACTCTGCTGTAAAGTCAGGTTTGCAAAGCACTAAGATAGGAAATAGTGAGTGTATATGCACTTGTTTAGTGACAGAATTAACTGCAGAGCTATAGGATACATTGCTCCTTCAATATAATAGTATCTTAATACCATGAGTCCAACTGCCTGGAACTCAATGGGAGAAAGTTTACTATATTATCTTCTAATAGTGATCTAACTCAGTTTAGGCTCCCACCTCTCAAGACCATGCCCGTGGCATAAGCCTCCAGTTCTTAGCTCTACAGAGTTGTGGGATACCTATTACTCATCTTTTCACTGGCTGACAACCAGCCTAGGCCTCAGACCAGTATCTACTGGCAAAGGAGGAAACATCTGAAGGTCAGGCTGATTTCAGAAAACATGGCTGCTACCTGAAGCTGCACATGGGGTGAAACATCTGATAACAGGATTAGATCACAGAGAGCAGGAAATGATGCCCAAGGTTCATGCTAACAGATCTTGTCACAGTGCTTTACAAGTTAGCATGGATACCACCACCACAGAGATGGTGTAAAATATTTCTGGCTTTTAAGTTTCCTAAATCTAGGAAACAGCTCAAGACCGTGAGGCCATTGCCTTGAAACACCACTAGCCATTAACACTTGCACAAAGCAGGTGTAAAAATGTAAAACCCAATGTGTGGGTAAGGCAAGGGAAGAACTGAAGTTTGCACCCATTTGACTTGTATGTAAATAGGGTACATGGAGAATTAGGCCCCCTGGTACTCCCTTTACCTGATGTGTTCAGGTTACTTCAGTTACTTCAAGTTTGGCAAACTCTTGTTGTTCCTCAGACAGAGCTGCTACAAAAATCCTCATTTCCAAAGAACTCCTTTTCTAGCCAGTGCTTAGAGGGTCCTGGCAAAGCAACCGCTACCATGTTTGCAAAGAGAAATCAAAGCAGGCTATGGCCTACAATATGGATGCTAGTTCCTGAGCACATGGCCTTGAGCAAGGAAACAACAGAAGCTGGACACTATGTGCTGTTCAGTGAACAAACAGCATTACCAGAAGGCTGCTCTGCTATTTACTGCTCAGGTAGACCCAGAGGAGGTATTCTACGTTCTCTGGGGGCACATCTACACAAGAAGCTGTGTCACTGTAGCGATGAGCTATGTCGTCGTAGCTCATTGCTGTGGTGAGGTGGCATTGGCATGCACGAACCATGATGCTGAGGCTACTGTGCAGTAGCTTGAGAAAAAAAATGTGGGCATCAGGACTGTGCAATAATGCTAGTACTTAAGCAGGTACTAAATGACTACGCAGTAACAACTACACAATCCGATACACATGTAGACACGCCCTGGGTAAATTATCTAACCTTGTTCCATACATGGAAGATAGCTACCACAGGCCATCTCAAATCAAGCTGTTCTTTGAATTAGTAGCATTCAAAAGCCTCCCAGCAGGAGTCAGATGCTGCCTCAGGACTCCTTGCTGTGGGTAAACTCGGGTTTAGGTCCTACAGATTCATCTACTAACCTCAAAGCATTTTGCAGCAAAGGTGAGTCAAGAAGCATTAGCACAGTTTTACAGATGGAGATGTCATGACTCTAGTGGCTGAGATGACCTGCCAAAGCTCACCCAAGCGGCCTGGGGCAGAGCAGAGGATAGAACCCAAGTCCCCTGAAACTTTGTCTAGTGCTCTCACAAGTGGCCGTCCTGCCAGAGCTGCCCTGTGTTTGGAATAAAAGTAAGAATGTCCTGGTGCATTTGGAACATTTAACTGAGCACAATCCCAAAGGACTGTGTGGTTTTAGTCATAAAACACTGCATTCATGACTGTTCGTTGAATGATGGCAGCTGAGCCAATGCACCAAGCTCTACAGACACCTCAATCTCCCTTTCTTAAGATACTGAAAGAGCTATATTCTCTGATCAGCAAAACTACTTGACCAGCCTGCCATCTCTTCACAGTCAATTAGAAGTTTGCTAAGGTTCAGACAGGCTCATTGTGGGCTAGAGCAATTGTCCCAGATCCCTGTCACAACATGGGCATGTTGAGCCTGTATTACACCGCCACCACAGAAGTTATTTGCTGGAAGTTATTCATTTACAGCCTCATAAATTAGTGAGCCTGTAAAAACAGATGCCTTGAGGAAGGAGATGGTAAAGCCCTTCCCTGCCACACAAGCTATGTTAATTACGATCATAGGCAGGGGTAACAAGCTAGTTCCTAGCTCCACATTTTCACCTATAACATATTACCAAAGCCAAGGGATCTCATAAATATCTACCAGAAATCTACGTGTCTAAATCCCCAGCGGCATAGAAAGTAAATTAGGTTTATTGCATCCAGTATCCCTTTGAATTTTTCTAATAAAAGAACAGATGAAAGGATTGCTCCTCCCTGAGACCAAGTCTAGTAACAGGAACAAAGTAAATGTTTCAATATGAGTGGTGTTGCTGGAGGCTCTGATGAAGAAAGTTTATTTTTCTTCTCGGAACAACCAGAGTAGGCAGCTCCTTTATTGCTGGCCACACTGTTTCAGTTCAGTTCTGCCAATGTCGCAGGTCTCTTCTCAAAGCCCTGGCAAAGAGTCAGGCAGCAGTGCTGTCTGTTCCAAAAGGCTGCCAATCAAACTTACTGGAAGCATGTCCTCACTCTGGATGCTAGAATGAGAAGGTGAGGAAGAGGAGTCTGGGGCAACTAGGACTTAAGCTCCTGATCCGGTTTCATGCTGAAGGGCTCCAGCCTCTCATTCTCAGGCAGCATGCTGTTCAGCCTCTCCATAAGTGGGACTGTCTGGTCGATGCCCATCTGTATGCGGCGGAGGATGGCAGACATCTCATTGACCTTCTGAATCTGCTCTGCATACTTGGCATACCTTTTCTGGCGTTCCTGCATGAAGCCGTACAGAGTTTCCACAGAAACATCCATCTGTTTAACACACAAAAAAGACCCACATTAGGCTAAAGATTGCCAAGTGCCCCTGGGCTAGGCATAGAGTTTTAAAATGGTCATTAATAGTATGAAGTCATTTTATTGTGCAGTAGCAATTAAAAGAAACTTCTTTGGTGATTATAATCGTACCCATATAGCTACCTAACATAGTGGTTGTGTGATCACTTATGGCCTGAACGCTGTTTTGCATCCTGATTGCTGATTTGATCTACAAAATATTATAAACACAGCCAGTCTTCCCCTGCATCACGTGATGAAATTTCTAAACTCTAAATCAGTCCCCTAAATTATCAAAACCCAGGTGCAATTACCACTTTCATTTAAAAGCATGTGTTGAGAGTATGGTTTTTGGGTACACCTTCTACATACTGTGAGTATAATTATGTTGAGCCACTCTACTGCATAATTACAGTGTGGTTGCACTATTTTGATACCTACAACTACCATTAAGTGGAAGCTTCATGCGTTGATGGATATCTGTGGTGCGTTACTACTGTCAGTAATGTACCAGAATTCTAAAAATGAAGGTATTAAGACCCTCCCCCCACACTTCAATGGTATATTAAAAGTAGATTGATTTTGCTGTTGCTCTTGTGGCAATGCAAGCACACTAGCAATTAATCAAAATGCAACCATAGTCTAATCAAAGTGCAACTGTAATCAAAGTTACTATTATTCTGTACAAAGGGCAATTTTTGTAATTCAAAATGCATCATCTCTTTCCAACCATCTAGTCAACAACATTTTTGTATTTGAAGCCTCTTAAAAGTTCCAGCTGTTAGCCATTTATAATGGATGCATGACAGGTTATGTCATATTTTTTAATCATTTAATGTATTGAACGATTTAGTGAATACATCTCTCATTCACAGCCATTGTATTCCAGTTATATTCCAAACCCTCAGAAACGCCAAATACCAAGCTCTATAATCACATGCTCTGCTGGCTGTTCAAACTCTGGTATTTCTGAGTGCTTGGGCAAAAGACTTGCTCCCAGCACATAGCACTGGTAAGTGGGATCTCACAATCATGAACTGAAGGAGGACAGATCTCTGGACATATTTTATCCTGACTTCAGGGAACACAGTTGTAACTAAAGAAAATGTTAGTGTTAGCAACTAGCTAAGGATAAGAAAAACCCAGTGTGATGGCTTTGCTTTGCTTTAGACCATTGGTCTTCTGCTTTAAATACCAGCATTTCATTTCAAGCTCCCACAGTGAGACAAATTGCCAGTGTACCTGTAAAGCGTTTCTATTATCTAGTCACATGACTGCAAACAGTGGGAGGTAAAGGCATTTTTATGAGAAGACAATCTCTCTCTCATCCCCCTCCCCGCAACTGGCAGCAAATACTGCTGGTTAGTATGGACAGATTTAACCAAGGTAACTCGTTTGAAATAACTGGGTGCATTCCCATGAGCGCACACATGCATTCCTTATAGGACAAACAGGAGCGGCACATATTTTTGCTGTTGCTATTTGTCCCCAGGCATGCCCCTGCACGTGCACTCTGGCATGCAGCGGCTGCGATCTGGGTGCTCAGGGCCTGGCCAGCAGCTGGCCGGACTCCCTTCCTGGTACTGTACGCTGCTGCCGCATGCACCACACCGCTTTTTTTAGTGGCCATTTTTGGTTTTTTACATCAGGATCTCCTGGTGTCAAAAGAAAAAAAACCCCTACTGGACTGCAAATTAGCATGTGTGCACATTCAAATGTGTTCATATGCCCTGTGTGCCATTTGTGGTACTGCAAACCACATGTACAACTGATGTCCCACTCCAGCATCCACTAGCATGAAGTGAGTAGGAAGAGTTCTTTGGCTGTTCTTAAGTCTGGGTTGTGCATCTGGGGGGTGATGACCTAAGACAAAGGTTTGCTAAAATGAGCATTGAACTCAGCTGATTTTGTCCAAGCATGGCAAAGCTTAAAAAAAAAAAAAATAGAGGGAGTTATGTTTGTATGCATACACGGACTCCTTTTCAAACACTGGGGAAGAAATCAAGGGGAGAAAAAAACTGGCAGGAAAGAAAATATTTTACTAAGAAATCCAAGTTACAAATAGCACTAAAACAACATGTGTCTGCTTTATTGCCCTGGGGATTGAAAAGCAGTTTTTATATCACCTCCACCAGTGCTGCAAACAGGATCCATTAACCTTTCATTCTCTTAGCCTGCTTCCTATTGCTCTCAGGTTGAAATCCTTGCTTTTGCCTCTGTTCGTCCCTGTGGATTCCTCTCTCAGCCCTTTCACGCACAGAACCAAATGCAAACCAGCAGAGCAGGAAATGCCAAGTAGTGTGGAAACAATTTAAGCCTGTGCAGGGGTTTCCATTAAAGCACTAGCTTAATAATTTAGTACTTTGGTGCTAGCTCTGTAAACTGCAGTGTGTAAAAAAATCCAGACCACCACAGCACTTGCATGGAATGGAATTAAATTCAATCCAGGGCCTAGAAATGTCCCAGCTAATGAGAGACAGTAGTCAGTAGGTTTCCTTTCTGATGTCAGTGTCTTTTGTTAAACATAATGCAGGCCTAAGTAGAAACCTTGATCTGGGGTTAAAATTTTCCCTCAAAGATAGACTCTTTGCATGGCCTTGCAACTCTCAATTAAACAAACAGGATTAGTCATTCCTGTGCAACACATTTTATCTCGATCTCTAGGAACTTTGCAGCTATAGGTGTTATCAGAGATGTCAGTGGGAATTTTGGTGCCCTGGCAGGGGAGGGGGGTATTGCATCAAGGACCAGAGAAGCGGCAGGGGAGAATCTCACCAGGGACTCAAAAGACTCCAGTTGCCACAGTGCGGTCTCTCCTCACAGCAGGGTCTGCTGCTGCCACCGCCATGACCCAGTCCTCTTCAGAGTGGGGGCTGCTTCTGCCACTGTGGCAGTGTCCCCTCACACTGGAGGTTGCTGCCACCGCCACATGAGCTCCCCACACACCAGTGGCTGCAAGCTGCTGGAAACTGTTATTCTGGCTCCCCCTCTAAAACTGGCAATTGAGCTAGTTTGCTGCTCACCTGCTCCTAGTTATGCTACTGAGCGTCATTATCCTCAGTTACCAAAGTGGAGGCAAAAAAACGTTAAACATGACCTGCGAGGGAGAAAGAAAAGGAGGGTGCTTGCATGAATTTGGCTGCATTTTGGCTGTACGTGCAAATAGTTAGAAGGGCTGAAGCATTAATTGAGCAAAACAGTTCAGAAGGCTTCACATGAGGAACTCAAGCCACATACCTCTGAGCCAATGGCTTTCACGCACAAGTGTTGACTCCATGGGGACTTAGCTGCCATTTACTGCAATGGTGCTCAACTTTTCTGGCTGGTGGGCTGGATGGGCAGTGTCTGATTCCTCTGGGGGTCAGATCTGGCAGGGCCCCATCCAGCTGTGCAGAGAAGGGAAGAGGGCAGCTTGGCCCCAATCCAGCCACATGTGGAAGGGGGCTTGGGCTGGTCTCAACCTGACCTCTTGGGGGGAGGGGCCATGACCTGGCCCTGATCCAGTTCCATAGGAGGTGGAGGGGAGGGGAGAGCATGGCCCAACCCTGCAGGAGGAAGGGGGCATGGCCTGGCTTTGCAGGTAGCGGGGGAAGAGGTGTGGCCTAGCCCGATGGAAAGAAGGGGACACAGCTCAGCCCTAGCTCAGTGGCCCAGAGGGAAGGGGGCATGGCCTAGCCCTGATCTATTTACTTAAACTAGATCAATAGAGTCACAGTAAATGTCTGATAACCAGGTCAACATTCAGCACTCAAATCACAGCAGAGCAGTGCTTCATCTGTCACTAGTTCCTGCCATCACCCCATCTTTCACAATTAAATTAATTTATTCTTCAAATAACCATGAAAAATTATTGCCATTTTATAGATACAGAGGTATGATTTAGAGAGAAGAAAGAATATTTCAACAGCCATTGGACTGATGGAAATCAGGAAGTCCAGGCAGAACAGAGAACTAAAGTCCTCATCCAAATCCTTAAAAAACACGGGTGCCTATACATGATTAATCAAGTCTGCTCCACACTCTAATTAGAATGCTCTAGCATCACCACAGCCCCCCTGTGGGCCGCTGGGGTGCTTTAACTAAAGCTCGTCAGATGAGCTTTAGTTAAAACATCCCACTGCCATTTTTAAACAAGCAGGAGCTTAATACTCATGATGTTGCGGCGTTTTAATTAAAGCGGCTCTCCAGGAATCACTCTATTTAAAATGCCTGCCAACCCCCACACCCGAGTACATGTATAGGCACCCCATGATTCTTCCTAACTAGGACTTGGGGAGAGACAGAAATATTTTCAATTGAACTACAAGAACTTATAACACACATCTTCCCAGACTTCCCCTCTCTTCCTTCTCCTTCCTTCCCAAAAGAAACCCTTTTGCAAGTCAGGGAAGCCATGGTTTGATATTTTAAAAATAAAAACAGATATTTTTCCCTTTTCAATAAATTAGTGTTTTCCAGGCCCTCCTTTAGCAGCATAAAGTAGCAAAAATGGACACTGACCTCTAATCAGTTTCAGCCATGCTGTTAAATGAATTTTCCCTAAAATGGACTATGCATATTATCTCTCCAAGTATACAGCTCAGTGCTCTGAACTGATAAGGTACTAAAGAGACTCTACAATTTGCAGACCCACTTGTAAATATACAGATTCAACACCAAAGCAATTCATGGCATTTTAGTTATGTTACACACAAACTGTTGTATTCATCCCAGAATTCTTTTTATCTCAGGCTGCTGAACAGAACTAAAATATTACATCAGAAAATGAAGGACTTAAATCAGCTCTGAAAGCTGCCTGCTTGTTTTTCAAGAGACAGTAGGAAAAAAAATGAATAGGAAAGAGAGATGTATTTGGTAGCCGTATTGGTCCGAGACAAAACTAAATGCAAAACTCTAGAACTCGGTTCGAAGATGAAGAACAACTCACAAAGACACTCTCATGGACACAGAGGAACAGACTTCTATCTTCAGCTCCTTTG